TAATATTCTTCCCCTTGTAGGTTATGGTTTTCTTATGTCTAGCTGCTTTCAGAATTTTCTCTTTCATCTTAACTTTAGTGAAGTTAATTATAATGTGCCTGGGGGATGTCTTTATTCGGGTTGAGTCGTCCTGAGGTTCTGAAACTGTGTGCTGTCTGAATTTCAGAATCTCTTGGCATGTCTGCAAAGTTCTCTTTCATAACTTCACAAAGAGGAGCCTCTGTGCTTTGTGAAGCAACTTCGTCGCCTTCAGGGATTCCCATAAGATGAATATTAGTTTTCTTCGAATTATCCCAGAGCTCTCTTAGAGAGTGGTCAGTTTTGGCTCTCCATTTCTCTTCATCCTTGAGTGCTTCAGCACATTCAGAAGCTTTGTATTCAGTGTCAGAGATCCTTTCTTATGCCTGTTTCATTCTGTTACCGAGGGATTCTACCGTATTTTTCAGATCTTTGAGGGCTGCAACCTCTTGCCTCAGTGTTTCAAAATCTTTGGTCATTTTATCTTTGAAATCATTGAATTCTTGAGACAGCTTTTGAATAGTTTGAAATTCTAATTCCTACCTTTCCTTCATTCTGTTAATCTTGTTATCCAGATTCTGTACTCGATTTCTGTCATCTCAGCCATCTGTTTATGGATGGGATCTTCAATTGCATCTTCCCCATCCTTCCTTGGGGGACTTGATCTACTCTGGTTATTCGAGTTACCAGAGTTTTTCTGCTGAATTTGCCCCATTTGGAGACTGTCCCCAAACCATTCATCCAGTGGCTGCTATTGTAGAAGATGCCAGCTTCTTCTGATTGCCTGGAGTGATAGGGTATGTCTGTCCAGAAAAGCCTCAGGGGTGTGAGCCTTATTGTTCTAGCTGCTGTGGCTGCTGCTCTTCACCTCAGGGTACTGCCACTCCAGTGTGGTTCCCTCTCAACTGACTGTCCTCTTGCAGCTCTCAGGCCACCGGGCCTGGGGTGCCGGGAATGTGCGGGTAGATCAGTCCTCGGGGGGGGGACCTCCGCTCAGGTTCCCAGGGTGGTGGCAGAGTGCCAGCTGCTGCACAGAGAATGCGCAGGTGGATCAGTCCTGGGGTGCCCTGCTCAGGTGCCCAGGAGAAGTGGCAAAGCACCAGCAGTCGTGTGGGGAATATGTGGGTTGATCAGTTCTCGGGGGCCCTGCGTGGGTGCTGGGGAGCAACAGCGGAGCACCAGCAGCCATGCAGGGAACGTGCAGCCAAAGCAGTTCTCCGGCTGCAGTTCTGGGACAGGGTGCTTGGTCCCGCAGCAGTGTGGGGATGCTGCTCTTGGGCCTCCTCTCACTGTCTCTGCAGGCAAAGGTAGAAGGGTGGACTGGGAATTCAAAATGGCAGTGAAAGGTTAGTTCGATTTTTCTGCATGGCAAGAGGGTTTCCGAGTCTCAGCAGGGTCCTTCTAAGAGAGTAGACCCCACTTTCTGTAGCTGTCACAGGTGGGGTAAGACAGTAAGTCCTCAGTTCACTGCTCACCTGTAGGAAACTCACAGGAGCAGACAAAGAGAAAACAAAGAGAAAAACACAACTTTCTTGGGGGAGGGGGCGGACACCCTCCCTTCAAGATGTATTATGTACCTGTAGATTGCTTTCTAGGAGTCGTAACTTGCCTCAGCAGAGGTGTCTTGCAGATATCACTCTTGTTTCTCCGCTGGGCTCCTAGTCTTCAATTTTGTTGGGTATTTTCTGAACTTTATCCTTCCCTCTGGACAGGAGCATCTGTCGGAAACTGGTACCTGTTGGCCATCTTCCCCCCCCCCCAACTTTGATACTTTAGTGAGAAATATAATATTGATTTATCATGAGCGTGGAAAACTTTTCACTGTTTGTGACCTCTTCAGTTTCTTTCATCAAGGTTTTATAGTTTTTACTATGGAGATCCTGTATTTCTTTGGTTAAGTTTACTCCTAGGTATTTAATTTTGTTTATAGCTATTGTAAATGGTATTACTGTCTTGGTTTCTTTTTCACAGTATTTTAGTTATTTTTGATAGATTTATCTTTAGTTTTCTTACTCAAGATATTTGTTCATGTGCTGCAATTACAACAGTATTCTATATTTGTGCACTTTCTGTGTGTTGTATACCTTCAGATAACTTCTTACTGTTCACGAATGTCTTTTTTTTTTCATATTGAAGAACTTGGTTTAGCATTTCTTGTAGGATAGGTCTGGTGATGGTTATATCCCTCAGTTTTGTTTGTCTGGGAAAGTCTTTATTTCTCCATCATGTTTGAAGGATGTAATATTCTAGGGTTAAGGTTTTTTTTTTTCCTTAAACACTTTGAATGTCATGCTACTCTCTCTGGATTGCAAGGTTTCCCTTTACAGTCCAGAGAGAGTAACATGACATATTCAAGTCTTCTGCCAGACCTATTGGAGTTCCTATATATATTTTTTTCTTTTTTCTTGCTTCTATTAGGCCCTTTTCTTTATCTGTAACCCTAAGGAGCTTGATTATTAAATTCATTGTGGTAGCCTTACTTGAGTTAAATCTGCTTGATGTTCTGGGACCTTCTTGTACTTTAATATTGATGACTTTCTCTAGATTTGGAAAACTGTGTTATTATTTTGTTGAATATACTTCCTATTTCAGTCTCTCTACCTCCTCTTTAAAGCCATAACTCTTAGACTTGTCCTTTTGAGTCTGTTTTCTAGATTTTGTAGGTATGTTTCATTCTTCTTTATTCATTTTTTTCCTCTTTTTGACTATATTTTCAAATAGGCCTGTCTTCAAACTAACTAATTCTTTTCTCTGCTTGATCAATTCTGCTGTTGAGAATTTCTGATATATTTTTCAGTTTGCCAGTTGTATTTTTCTGCTCCAGAATTTCTGCTTGATTTTTTATTTTTTCAGTCACTTTGTTGAATTTCTCTGCTAGGGTTTTGAATTCCTTCTTTGTGTTATCTTGAAGTTTGATGAGTTTCATCAGTACAACTCTTTCGAATTCCTTGTCTGAAATGTAATGTCCCCTACTTCTATCACTCTGGGACTGGTCTCTAGTACCTTCTTTAATTCATTTGTTGAGTTTTCCTGGCTATTCTTGATGCTTATGGATGTTCATTGGTGTCTGGGCTTTGAAAAGTTATTTATTTTATTCTTTTCAGGCTGGGCTTGTTTGAACATATCCTTCTTAAGAAGGCTTTCCAGATATTCAAAGGGAATTTAGTGTTGTGATCTAAGTCTTTGGTCACTGCAGTCATAATAGTACTGGGTGTGCCCCCAAGAACAGTAATGCAGTGACTCTTGTAGACTCATGGTGCACTTGGGTAAGATATGGGAGAATTCTCTGGATTACCAGGCAAAGTTTCTTGTTCTCTTCCCTCACTCTCTGTGCTGGAGTTGGGGAAGAGTAATGTGGGTACTCCCTCATGGCCACTGCAGGTTGGACTACACCAGGTCACACCACAACAGGTTACACCTGGAGCCAGCTGAGTCTCAGCCAAAGCCCAAGTGACTGCTACTGGCCATTTCTGATGTTTATTAAAAACTCAAGGGCTTTTTAGTCAGTAGGTAGTAAATCATGTCAGGACTGGATCCTTCCCTTCTGGGAAGCACGTTTCCTTCTGGTCCAGAGTGGCTCTGAAATGTCCAGGAAATAAGCCCCAGACTCAGGGGCTTTGGGAGTCAGTTTGGTGCCTTATTTTACTGTGGTTGAGCTAGTACACAAATTACAAAACAAAGTCCTCTGAACTCTACCCTTTCTCCACGTGAAAGACTTCCTGAGCTGCAATGCCGAGAGTCATGGGATGGGTGACACAGGCACTGGTTTGGCCACCCCTCTGGTATATCACTGGGTCAGGTGTGCCCCAAGTGCACTGGCTCTGAGCCAGCACAGCTGCAGGAATTGCCCAAACTACATCCTTTTCAGCCTGACTGCCATACACATTAATTTCATGCCCCAGGCCACTTTTTGTCAGCTGGTAGTGGGGCTAACCAGATGTTGGGTTTGGGGGCAGAGGATTTTCCTGTGACCCAGCTGGTCTAAATGCTCCCTCAGTGGGCACTGGCAGGATCTTCCCTGTGCTCTGTTCTCTGGTTGACAGCATGGCTGTGAGTTCCAGTGCAAAGCCCCACAACCATTTCACTCTCTTGTGGTCACACAGATTCTTTGTGTACTGTCATGGCACTGCATGTGTACTGTCATGGCGTAGCGTAGGCGGGAAGGGCTGCCTTTTCTGCCCTCTTCATTGCCTCTTGAAATAACGTTTACATCAGGTACTGTGATTATTCACCTGATTTTTGGTTCTTCTGAAGGTGCTTCTGTGTGTGGATAGTTGTTCAATTTTGTGTTTTGCAGAGGGATAATCTTGGGAGGTTTCTATATGATCGTCTTGTTCTACCTTTTCCTTGTTTTGAGTATAGGAGTAATTTTTTTAATGTTAAGAGCCTCAGCAACTAATTTATAATAGAACATTTTAAAACATAAAAGTTGTTCAAAATTGACTGGTACATTTCAGATTATTGTAAAGATATAAGAGTACTTTGTTTTAAAATATTTAGTCTCTTTTTAATTTTTTACAAAAGTGTTTTTCTAGGGTTAGACTTTATAATTGAAATTTAATTCTTTTGCTTAGCCCCTTGGATTTTTAAATTGGAACTTCCTGGCATGTATTTCTGAAAGAAAATACACTAATTATCCTACTTATTGATCTTTGTTGTATTCTCTCTTTTTTTAAGGAGAACTCAATAAAGAAGGTGATAGAATTTTGGTAGCTGAAGGAGGTCTTGGTGGTAAATTACTTACAAATTTCTTACCATTGAAAGGGCAGAAACGAATAATTCACCTTGATCTAAAACTTATAGCTGACGTAGGCCTAGTAGGGTAAGTATCATTCATATTTTTATTATTGTATCGTACCTTCAAATAGTCTATGAATAGAAAATAAATGTACATGGTAATTTGGGGCCAGAATTATTTCTAGTGTATGGAATTTGTGTGTTGTATGGTGCAGTACACAATTTTGTATATACACTTGTGTTACAAATATACAATAACTGTATTTTGGAAATATGCCGCTAAATGCAGTTATTTTCAGATTGTCAACAGAGTTTCATCATTAATATTCATTTGTAAAAGGAAAGTAAGAGCAATTGAATAGATCAGGGGTCCTCAAACTTTTTAAACAGGGGTCCGGTTCACTGTCCCTCAGACCATTGGAGGGCCAGACTGCGGGCCCCAGGATGAGTCCACTGCTAAGCAGGACAAGCAGCGGTGGAAAAAACACTCGCAGGCTAGATAAATGTCCTCGGTGGGCCACATGTGGTCTGCGGGACGTAGTTTGAGAATGCCTGGAATAGATCAATGGGAATATTAAAGAATGAATAGAGAAGGAAAAATCAGTCAAATACAATATATATAATAGTGTAAAGATTGTTAGCAGGTATTAAGGAATAAGATTAGAAATCTAAACAAACCATATTTTAAAAAAAAATATAGAAGAAAATAAAAAGAGAGAAAAGATTGAGATAGTCTCTTGAGTCTTAATAGAGGCCTTGAGGTGTCAGTAATCAGATAGCTAAATTAGCTTACCAGCCAATCTCAATTCTCAGAATTCTCAGACACCGTCGGATCTTACTATGACTGTTTCTGTATCCTTCACGGCTCTGCTTAGTATCTGCCTATTTTAGTCCTGCAGACCTCACAAGATTGTTATCTTCCCCCAGCCTCCATTCTTTGATTAAATAATGCAGTTTAGCTGTGAGGTTTGCAGTGCTGCTGCCCAGTGGAGGGGGATAGATAGCAAGATAGTGAGTAGATGAAGGAAGGGAAATCTTCAGTTTGCATTTCTCCCTTCTCTGTCCTCCTTCCACTCTACAGCCCTCTTACGGAATTACCATTGTTCAGGTGGAAAGCTTACGGAAAAGATAGGGACTGCTCTACTCCCAATTCCTAGTTTTATTCTTTGCATTCCAAAGAAAGGTCTTTTCATCATCATCTCCAGCTATCTTAACTGCTGCTGCTGCTGCTTTTTTTTTCTTGTTTTTTGCTCAGGCTTGAGTACAGTGACATCATCATAGCTCTTAACAACCTTAAACTCATGGGCTCCATAAAAGTCTTTTCGCCTAAACCTCCTAAGTAGCTGGGACTCAGCATGGGCTGAGTCCATGTGCCACCACATGGGCTGATTTTTCTTTTTTCTTTCTTTTTTTTTTTTTTAAGAGACTGGGTGTGAGTGTGTGAGTGACACAAGAGTCTCCCTGTATCACTGTAGGTAGAGTGCTAGGGCATCATTGCTCCCAGCAACCTCAAAATCTTGGGCTCAAGAGATTCTCTTGCCTCAGCCTTCCAAGTAGCTGGGACTGCAGGCACCCACCACCATCCCTGGCTAATTTTTCTGTTTGTAGTAGATATAGGGTCTCACTCTTGCTCAGGCTTGTCGTGAACTCCTGAACTCAGGCGATCCACCCACTTTGGCCTCCCAGAGCCCAGGCTGACCGTGAACTCCTAGGCTCAAATGATCCTCCCACTTTAGCCTCCCAAGTGCTGGGATTACAGATCTGTGAGCCACCCTGCCCAGCTTTTTATAGCTTCTTTACAAGACTCTGAAGTTTGAATCTCTCACTTTTTGCCCTACCTGACCAGCAACTATGTCTTAACCCCCATTGGCTTAGAATTCACAGAGGTTCCATTCCTGCTAAAATTATAAGAAGAAAAGATGTGAACCTAGGTGGCACCTGTGGCTCAGTGAGTAGGGCGCCAGCCCCATATACTGAGGGTAGTGGGTTCAAACCCAGCCCCAGCCAAACTGCAACAAAAAAATAGCTGGGTGTTGTGGCAGGCACCTCTATTCCCGAGTACTTGGGAGGCTGAGGCAAGACAATCACCTAAGCCCAAGAGCTGGAGGTTGCTGTGAGCTGTGATTCCGTGGCACTCTACTGAGGGTGACAAAGTGAGACTCTATCTCCAAAAAAAGAAAAGATGTGAACCTAGCTTGCCATTCGCATTTAATGTTCTCAATAAAACAATAGCTATGAGAGTGTGAGGCATAAGTTTTGTAATCCTCTGTAATATTTAGGAACATTATAGGTTTAGTAGAGTTCTGTGAGCAAGACTGGAAATCTAGCCATTCACAGTTACATTTGGTGGGAAAATGTGTTTCAGGTTCCAAAAAGACACCTTTATAGTTTAATAAGAGCCTAGCAAGGCTGAGTAGTAAAAGTGGAATAGTAGTGGGGGACTCAGATTATTGGATTAGGAAGTCAAATCTTCTGTATAGCTGATCTTTGGCTAAGTTATACAGCCTCTCTAAGCCTTTGTTTTCTTATCTTTAATAGTGGATAAGGAAAGTGGTTGCTTTAAAATGTTGGCAGGTAAGCTAATGCATATACACAGCAGAGCAGATCCTTTGCATTTATGAAGGCCAATGAATGGGAGCTGCTCCTATCATCATCAGTATGTTGCCAGCTTATTGGCAGCTACATAAAATACTAAGATCTTCAGAAGTAGAAGAAATGACAGCCAGAAATTCAAGCATCAAGATTCTAGTGCGTTAACATATGTATCCTAGTGCTTTTAATTGGGCATCTATTTTTGAAAAGTTACTACTGAGAAATATCCTTTTTGCTGGTTCTGCGAATGGAATGGACTGAACCTTAAAGGAAAATTCTCATGTAATTAGTACACTTACACTACTGTTGCCAAATCTGATCTTTGCATAGCTTGGATTTCGGCCTCTAAAATTTTCATTCAGTCCTTTTCAAGAAAAATCTCAAACATCTATTCAGCCATTAGCATACTCTTTCTCCTTACACTTATCTTATTGAAAATAGTTGCTTTCATTTTTATGTGCTTACTCATTATTATGAAACTATGAAGATATTAGAAATAAATAAGCGCAGCTAGTGGTAATCTTGGACAAAAATGTTTGCAGTTTGCTTTTCAAAAAGTTACAAGAGCCTGGGTGAAACAGGATGTGAGAAAATAATGTTTATTCCAAGAGAAATGAGTCATTAACAAATTACACATAATTACATTTAAAATTGCAGAAAGATTTTTCTTACGAGGATCATTGTTAAAAGAGCTCCTTATAGAGCTTATAAATTTTTATGAATTCAAAATTAATATTTGCAAAATGTTGCATCATTTTTCCAAATGTAAGTTTGGCAGAGTTTTTGAAAGAAGAGCTTCCATAAGAAGGTAGGGATCACATTTGTTCCATTACTATATTTCTGATGCTTAGTATGGTGCCCAATACAAAGTCAGTGCTTGATAAATATTTGTTGGATAAGTTTAATGAAAATAAATGATTGAAATTTAGGAAAGAATCTTTTAAGTGACTCCACTTTCTAGTACTTTCATACACATGAAGACTTTCTTGAGAGAAATTTAGCAATAAAACTAAAAGCCTTGGGCAGCACCTGTGGCTCAGTGGGTAGGGCGCCATCCCCATATACCAAGGATGGTGGGTTCAAGCCCAGCCCCGGCCAAACTGCAACAAAAAAATAGCCGGACGTTGTGGTGGGTGCCTGTAGTCCTAGCTACTGGGAGGCTGAGGCAAGAGAATCACCTAAGCCCAGGAGTTGAAGGTTGCTGTGAGCTGTGTGATGCCAGAGCATTCTAGTGAGGGCGATAAAGTGAGACTCTGTTTCTACAAAAAAAAAAAGAAAGAAAGAAATTAAAAGCCTTTCATATGAGCATATATTTTAATCCACGATTTGCTTATCTATTTATTTCAAGAAAGAGTTCAAAGATGTGCTCAAAGGCTTAAGGATAGTCACTACATTGCTTAAAGTTTTTAGAAAAAGGTAAATAATACATCCCTATTTGCAAAAAGAAAAAATAGTTGTTGATTAATCCCACCACTCAGAGATGATTATTTCTAGCTGCATACATATTTTTTGGTAGTCTTATTTATATTAGTGAGAAATTGGAAACAACCTAAATGTCTGTCAGTAGGAAATTAGTCAAGTAAATTATACTTTACGACTGAAAGATACTCACCCTTTATTATTTGGTTGAAAATGCAGGCCAACCTGGTTAGGGCCCCAGCCTGCAGTGGCCCCATAGTAGAATGTTCTGCACTGTGGCTCCTCACAGCAGCTCTGCTAGGCAGCTCTGCTGTCATTCCCTATTTATTAATAAGGTGTTCTTTTAAACAACAACAACAAAAGGAGGCCAAGCAACTGTAAAGTATTCTTTAAAAAAAGAAATGTTGATCAAGCAAGCTGGCTCATGCACTTGACCTTCCCTCAGCACTCTGGGAAACCAAGGTAAGAGGATCATTTGGGACAAGACTGGGCAGTATAACAAGAGCCCCCCCCCACCCCCCACACACACACACAAATGTTTTTTTAAAGTATCCTTGTGGGCATGAGGGACTATAGTCCTAGCTACTTGGAAGGAGTCTACTTGAATTCTTAGGGATTCAGAAATGAACAAGTGTTAATATTGGCATTTGTTGTATATTTTTTTTCTCATTTTAGATTCCCAAATGCTGGAAAATCCTCTTTGCTAAGTCGAGTTTCTCACGCAAAACCTGCAATTGCAGATTATGCATGTAAGTACAACTTGATTGTGTATTTTAATGCGTGGAGATAAATGTTTAAAGACTAATATTTCTTTAATATGAATAAAATGACAACTCTAAGGATAGCCTTAGTTTAAAAACTTTTGGCAGATAAAATACATGCATTTTTCATTAATCTTTGAAACCTTTATACCCTTCAGCAAAGTTCTTTGTCCTCCTTATTAAACACTTTTGATTTAGTTAGAATTTTGTGAGCCACCTACCCTTTATCAAGCTCTTTGATAAAGAACTAGGAAGGCTGAGAAGAATACTTCATTCATTTAGAAAATATTTATTTCTAGGAACTGCATTATGTTGTGGGGTTACAAAGACTACTATGCAGAAATGGCTACTGTTCTTGAGTTTCACTGAGCTTACAGATGAGTGGGAGAAAGCATATATATCAGTAATAAATACAAGGAAATTTAAAAGGGTACTGTGAAAGACGGTTGAATGGCCAATATTTATTGTAATACATAGGACTTGAGAAGAAAAGAGGAGGAAAAACAATAAGTCAAGGAAAGAGGCTAGTGTCGGTGACTGCTTTCTATTTTCTTGAAAAGTGTGATGCTTGGACTGAGATGTGAAGAATAATTCGTGAAGAAGTGGAGCTGAAGGAATAGCCTGTATACAAGGCTTAGTGGTGATGTGGTGTAGATTTGTGGTCTGGAGATAGGAGGTGAGAGAGAGGAATTGAGATGAGGCTAGAGATGGGGAGAAGACCGTATCACCTAGACCAGTGATTTTAAACTTGGGTGCCGTGAGAAGTTTTAAAGATCATTAAATTATTTTTGAATGAAGTTCGAAGCACAGTAAGTGTATTCTTTTTTTTACTCCTCTTTTTGATCAACATAATTTAAGTGTGCCTCATAAGTTTATAGATTCAAATGAGCTATGCAATAAAATAAATTAAAAAACACTGATCATGTGGGCTCTATCTGATCTTTCTTTCTCAAAGGCAGTTGTAAGCCTTTAAGCAAGGGATATGATGATTAGATTTTCCTTTAAAGAGATCTCTACCTATAATATAGAAAATGGATTGGTGCAAGACATAAAAAGATCTGCAGAAACCAGTTAGTAGGTTCTTGCAGGAACTAGATGAGAGATAAAGGAAGCTTAGGGAGGAGTAAGGAGTGACATGACAGGATCTCTGCCATCATTAAACAAAATGACACAGAACGACATTAACCTGGAAAATAAAATTAAGCCATTCTAAAATTAGACTCTGATGAACTAGTTAATTTTGAACTAATTGCTATAAAATGCGTGGCCAATATTTGTTATAATACACAAAACTTGAGAAGAAAAGAGGAAAAACAGTAAGTCCTAGGAAAGAGGCTAGTATAGGGTTGGTGAAGCTTAAGAATAACTGAATGAGAAAGTACTAGAAAAATGTCATCTACAAACCCCATGATAGAACCTAAATTCTGGCCCCTCACTTCCCCGGACTTTATTATCATGCAACTTAAAGTGCAGTAGAAAAAATTTCAGACTTAGATTAGGCCTGTGCAGATTATAAAAATCTGTGTGCTTTTTCCGCATTTTTGAAAGCAAAGGTTATCATAGCTTCCATTTCAGCAAATTAGAACAAAATCTGAATTAAACTGTTCACAGCAAAGAAATACTGTTCATTCTGTGCATAATGCTAAAACTAGTTAGAGAGTACTGGCCTTTATTCTAGCTTTAATTTATTGTTATTTTTCCTTATAGTTACAACACTAAAGCCTGAACTTGGAAAGATTATGTACAACGATTTCAAACAGGTGGGGACTTTTTAAATAAAACATTCAGTTAGAAGTAAAGATATTTAGTTTTGGTATATGGGCTTTATATTTCTGTGGTGTGAGGGAGAGAAAGTAGTAAGATTTTGTTTATGGCAGTCAAAATAATTCTTCTGAGCACTACCTAGTAAAATGTTGTCTAAGAATTTAATTTCTGGTTCCTCCAAAGGTTAAGTCCAGTTTATTGGTACATCATATCTTTATCTCCCTAGTCTGTTCCTTCTCATTGCAAGTCCTTCTTTTGTTACCATATTGTATTGATCTTCCTTTCCTGAAAACATTTTCTAAAGTTCATAGAAAAGATTTTATTCCAACTTCCTTTTTTTGGAAAAAAAAGTTGTTTGTCTCATTTAGCTATTTAAAATTTACTTTTCCTTGGTAAGAAAGAACTATAGCTCTTTGTATAATTAAAATAAAAAATTAATAAAATTTTTAAAATATATAATGTACTGTTTAGTAGTTGTGCTCCTAAATATGAATTGAAAAGTTATGTGCACATGAAAGTCTCCACATGGATGCTTATGACAGCTTCATTCATAATTACCAAAACCTAGAAACAACTTCACTTCAGTAGGTGAATGCGTAAAGATATAGAGTGTCCCAAAAGTCACTCCTAAAGGGAAAATTTTCCCCATGTGTAGCAACTTCAGGAGTGACTTTTGGGACACCCTGTACCGTGGTACATTTAGACGATGGAATATTATGCAACTCTAAAGAGAACTGGACCATCAAATCATGAAATCCTTTGGACCATCTTTGAAATCCATCAAATGGACCACATTTAATGCATATGACAAAGAAGTTGATGTGAAAAGGCTACTGTATGATTCTAACTATATGATCTTCTGGAAAAGGCAGAGCTATGGAGATAGCAAAAAAGTCATCACTGATTACTGGGGTTAGTGAGGAAAGAGGTGAATAAGCAGAGCACTTAAATTTGAGGGCACTGAAACATTCTGTTTCGATACTCTAGTGGTGGATACATTATATATTTGCTAAAACCCATAGAATGTGCAACATCAAAAGTGAACCCTACTGTAAAGTATGCACTTTGGGATGTAATGATGTGTTAATGTAGGTTCATATATTCCTGTGACATAATTCAAAAGGCATAAAAACTTATGTTCATTTATTATAACAGTAAAAAATAAAGACTTCAATTATATATAGTATTAAATAGTATAAATACAAGAGATGTAGAAAACAATAGAGGAAAAGAAAACTTTACTTGTAAATCATTGTTTATAATAAACTTAAACACTGTTGGTTTTTAAGGAAATCAGTAGAGAACCTCTGAAGGAAATTTCAGAACCTCTGTTGTGCACACTACTTTGTCATGTAGCCACAACTTCCTTTAAGACTGAATTCTTCATTCACACTGGACAGCAGTTGTAGAGTACTACTTATTATCCCCTTCAGCAGCTCCAAATTTATCTGGGTGATTTAAGAACAACAATGATAAATGATGTCTGGACCCCAGAGATGGTGAAACGAAACTTGTTGGGGATAGGGCCGAGACATCTGTAGTTTCTAGGTGATTATGATGTACAGTGAAGGTTGAAAAGCACAAGGGTAGAATGATGTTAATAATTCTTATCATCTCCGAAAGGAGTATAGGAACACTGTGCTTTTCATTTTGTAAGAATAGCTGATAATCCTGCTAGTATCATATGAACAAAAAGGGAATAGTAGTGCCAAATAGACAGTTACAAATTGAATTTAAAAGTGTGGAGCAATGCATAGTAAATGTTTGCTGAACTTAATATCCTTAATAGACTTCCACAAATTCAGATCGTAAAAGTTGAAATTTTATGAAAACTTCATGTTGAACAATACAGTTTATGAAATTATAAGTTTATGTGATTAGTAAATACTAAATTAATCCCTCAATTTCTAGAGTGTTAGATTAATAAGTAAAAATGGGACTTTAATGTCTGATGACAAAGGATTTTAATTTTTAATACTGTTATTTTTTATAAAGGTATCTTGGCTTTTCAAAGATGCAATGGTAAACTTAAATTAAAAACTGTGTATATTTGAAATATGGAAATTTTTGTGTATAATTAAAATTTTTATATATTTTTCTTTTTCATCTAACCATTTAACTTTGTGTTAGATATCAGTAGCCGACCTTCCAGGTTTAATAGAAGGAGCACATATGAACAAAGGAATGGGCCACAGATTCCTGAAGCATATAGAAAGAACTAGACAGCTTCTTTTTGTGGTAAGTCATACCAAGTTACTATTCAAATGAATGTGAACATCAATGAGTTGAGTTTTCCTAGAAAATTTTAATAACACTTAAAGTAGTAGTTTTTTTACTCTGCTAAGTATGATATGGGCATAGAAGTGATATTGTTTACTCTATCAGATACACGTTTGGCTGTATTTGTCAAGACTTGATTCCTGGCTCGGTGCCCATAGCTCAGTGGTTACTGCACCAGCCACAATCACCGGGGCTGGCCGGTTCAAACCCGGCGCAGGCCTGCTAAACAACAATGACAACAACAACAAAACAATAACCAGGTGTTGTGGTGGGCACTTGTAGTCCCAGCTACTTGGGAGGCTGAAGCAAGAGAATTACTTAAGCCTAAGAGTTTGAGGTTGCCGTGAGCTGTGATGCCACAGCACTCTACCGAGGGCGACATAGCAAGACTGTCTCCAAAAAAAAAGAAAAAAAAAAAAGACCTGATTTCCAAAGATTTCTAACATACTACTCTATTATTTGGTGCTTCTTTCATACTTCATTGATGCTGCTAGAAGTACAGGGGAGATTTGTCTGTAATTGGTATAAACTTTCTTATCTATACCATTTTTCATTTTATTAGTGACTTATTTTACCAGAATAATTATAGTTACCTTGATACCTCAATTTCTGGTATTTGTTTTGAATTACTAAGTTACCAGTATAGACTGAGGAATTATTTTTAGCTTGAGTGACCAAAATATTTCAAAACATAAAAATATAGAGTTGTTCTTAAGTTAAAGACTATCTCTTTCCCTCTTTTTTAGGTTGACATTTGTGGATTTCAGCTTTCTTCCAAAACTCAATACAGAACTGCTTTTGAAACTATACTACTGCTTACAAAAGTAAGTTTTCTGTTATAGAGTGTTCTGTATCTAGTCTAATATTAATGTAGGCATAAAGTACTATGTGTAATAATATAGTTAGTATAATACTCCTCCTTTTTAATGCTTTGAATAGCACTTAAAGAATTATTTAAACTTGTCTCCAGTTCTTCAATTTTCACCTGCTTCTGAAAATATTGCAACAGATAAAACACTCCTTGGGTTTCCAAGTACCTATTATTTACTTCTCAGACTTCATCTTGCTTCAACCTTAACACATCTATTTCTTCTTGAAACATTCTTAGCTTAACTAACTATAACTCCTGGTTTTATTTCTACTTGTCAGGTTCTTTTCTGCTCATCTTTCAAGGAACATTATTCAGAGTTCTGTCCTAGCCCTATTGTGTAGTATTACCCATTCCTATTGGCTTCAGTCACAGAAATACCCCGATGGCTGCCAAAGCTGCATCTGATACCCAGTTCTTTTAGTTGTGTTTAAACCAGAGGCCTGTTTTAGCCACTCAAATTTAGTATGTGTAAAACTGAACTCTTTATGTTTTTTTAACTCCTCGTCACCCCCGGAACTTCACTGAATGTGTAAGCCAGGAACCTGAGTGGTGGTCTTGAGTCTTTCTTCTGACCACATACGTTAAGCTCTGTCAGTTTTATATTCTGAATTTCTCTGAAATCCATCTACTTGTCTTATTCCATACCGTTACAATCATCATTCTCTTTCACTGGAACATTGACTCTCATCCTGGTCTTCTCTGCTTCCATTTGTGCTTTTCTCTATAGTCTTTTTTTTTTTATATGGCATCTAGAGGGATCTTTGTAAAAGAACCAAGATGATATTTGTTCCCTGCTAAAAACATTTTGATGGTCCCTGTTGTTGTTAGGTTAAAGTCTAACCTGGACATGGCATATGAGCAAGGTCTGGCAAGTTTGGCCCTGGCCTGGTAGTCCTTCCCACAGCCCACATGGTGCATTTTAGCTGTCTGATTTCCCATACATGAGCTGCTGACTTCTAGGACTTGTGGATCCTATTTTAGTTGTCACATTTTATCTATAATGAATAATCCAACTGCAAACGTTTATGCACAGGTTTTTGTGCAGACAAATGTTTTCATTTCTCTTAAATATATACCTAGGAGTGGAACTGCTGGATCTTTTTTTTTTTTTTTTTTGGGACAGAGCCTCAAGCTGTCCCCCTGGGTAGAGTGCCATGGCATTACAGCTCACAGCAACCTCCAACTCCTGGGCTCAAGCGAGTCTCCTGCCTCCGCCTCCCAAGTAGCTGGGACCACAGGCGCCCGCCACAACGCCCGGCTATTTTTTGGTTGCAGCCGTCATTGTTGTTTGGCGGGTCCGGGCTGGGGATTCGAACCCGCCACCTTAGGTGTACGTGGCTGGCGCCTTAGCCGGTTGAGCTATAGGCACCGAGCCGAACTGCTGGATCTTATGGTAACTCTTTGTTTAATATTTTGAGGAACTGCCAGACTGTTCCAAATTGGTTATACCACTGCACCATTTTACAGTCCTTCCAGCAAGGTTTAAATGTTCCAGTTTTTCCACATGCATGCCAACTATCAGCTGTTGTTTTTATTTACTCATCCTAGTAGGAATGCAATATTTCATTAGTTTTTATTTGCATTTCTTTTAGGATTAATGATGCTGAGCATCTTTTCATGTGCTTATTTGCCATTTGTATGCCTTTGGAGAAATATTTGTTCAGATTCTTTGCTTTTTTTTTTTTTTGAGAGAGAGTCTCAACTATGTTGCACTCAGTAGAGTTCTGTGGTGTCGCAGCTCACAGCAACCTCCAACTCTTGAGCTTAAGCGATTCTCTTGCCTCAGCCTCCCAACACCTGGCTGTTTTCATGTTGCAATTGTCACTGTTGTTTAGCTGGCCTGGGCTGGACTTGAACCTACCAGCCTCGGTGCATGTGGCTAGCACCATAACCACTGTGCTATGGGTGCCATGCCTCTTTGCCTATTTTTTAGTTTTGTTACTTGTCCTTCATAGCCTTGTAAGAGCTTTTTGTATTTTTGGATGTAAGTCCCTTATCAAATACGTGATTTGAAAATATTTTCTTGGGTGGTGCCTGTGGCTCAGTGAGTAGGGCACTGGCCCCATATACCAAGGGTAGCGAGGTCAAACCCAGCCCTGGCCAAACTACAAAAACAAAATATATATATAGCTGGGCATTGTGGCGCCTGTAGTCCCAGCTACTCAGGAGGCTAAGGCAAGAGAATCAGCTAAGCCCAAGAGCTCGGTAGAGTGCTGTGGCATCATAGCTCACAGCAACCTTCAACTCTTGGGCTCAAGTGATCCTCTTGGCTCAGTTTTTCTATTTTTAGTAGAGACAGGGTCTCAGTTTTTGCTCAGGCTGGTCTTGAACTCATGAACTCAAGCAATCTACCCTTGGCCTCGCACAGTACTAGGTTACAGGCGTGAGCCACTGCACCCGGCCAAGTTCAACTTTTTTAGATTCCACAAAATAGTAAAATCACATAATATTTGGTTTTTTGTGCATAGCTCATTTCACTTAGCTTAATGTCCTCTGGATTTATCCATGTTATCATAAATGACAAGATATTCTTCTTTGTATAGGCTTAACAGTATTCCTGTGTGTGTGTGTGTATGTGTATATTAATGTGTGGATCATTATGAAAGTTTTCAGATACACAAAAATCAACATAAAATTTGTGCAGGTGGAAATAAATGAAGTCATCCCAGCTACACCAATAAGCTGCACAGGTGAATCAGAAAGGATGCTGTTGACCGTGTTTCTTGGAAGTGAAGTAATGGGCCATAGCACAGTCTGTCTCAAAACTTTTATAGTGACCCACATATCACATTTTCTATATCTTTCTATCCATCAGAGAACACTTAGATTGATTCCATGTCTTGGCTATCATGCATAATTCCACAGTGGACATGGGAGCACAGGTACCTTTTGACACGCTGATTTCATTTCCTTTGGATGCGTACCCAGAAGGATTGCTGGATCTTATGGTAGTTCTATTGTTAATTTTTTGAGGAACCTTCATACTGTTTTCTATAATGGCTCTACTAATTTACATTTCCACCAACAGTATTCAAGGGTTCTTTTTTCTCCATATCCTCTCTAGTACTTATTTTTTTTCTTCTTTATTATAGTCATTTTTATAGGTGTGAGATATTTTATTATTTTTATTTACATTTCCCTGATGATTAATGATATTGAGCATTTTTTTCATATGCCTGTTGGCCATGTCTTAACTTTTTTTGAGATACATTTATTCAAGTCTTTTGGCTGTTTTTTGATTGGGCTCAGACTACCCAAAGCAGTGTACAGATTCAGACCATTTTCTATCAAAATTCCAATGACAGTTGTCACAGGAAATAGAAAAATAATCCCAAAATTTGTATGGAACCACTAAAGGCCTTAACTAGCCAAAGCAGTCTTGAGCAAAAAGAAGAAAGCTGAGGATCTCACAGTACTTGATTTTGAGACCTACTAAAAACTGTAGTAATCAAAACAGCATAGTACTGGCATAAAAACAGACATATAGACCAATAGAACAAAATAGTAGTGCACAAATAAATCACAACTAATCTTTTTAAAAGTTGCTAAGAAAACACAATGGGGACAGTACAGTTTCTTTAAAATGGTTGGGAAAACTGGATGTCCATGTGCAAAAGAATGACATTTAACCCTTATCCTCTATCCCATATAAAAAATTCAACTCAAAAGGACTAAAAACTTAAACATAAGACTTGAAAATATAAAACTACTAGAAGAAAACATAGAGGAAAAGCTTCTTGATGTTGGTTTGGACAGTGGTTTTTTGGATATAATCCCAAAGGCATAGGCAATAAAAGTAAAAGTAAGACAAATGGGTTTACATCAAACTATAAAGCTTCTGCACAAAAAGGCAGCACTCAACAGAGTGAAGAGACAACTTATATAGTGGGAGAAAATATTTGTAGAACATGTATCTGTAACGGTTAATGTCTAAGATATTTAAGGTACTGAAAAAACTCAATAGCAAGACCCCGTATTTTTAATTTTGATTAAGTTCCATTGCTTGTGCTTTTCGTGTATTATCTAAGAAACTATTGCCTCATTCAAGGTCACAAGATTAACTCTTCATTACATTTACTTTTTCCAGGAATACTACAGGTGTAACATTAAATTGTTACTATTGACTTCTGAATTTTATCTGTGTAAAGTTCAGATACCTATATTTGGCTCTGGACACAGAATCACATGTCTCTAGATGTCATATAAGCTAAAATACACTAACATAGGACATAAAAAGAAACATTTTCTGGATTTCCTTTGTTTTGAGGTTATTGGGATATATTGCATTTCAGTAATGCGAATGGGCTTTAGATTACCCAGGCCATTAAGTAAAAAAAGACATTGGTAAATAGATAATTTGTGCAGAAAATTATTTTGTTTTTTTCTTTTGATTTAAAGGAGTTGGAGTTGTACAAAGAAGAACTTCAGACAAAACCTGCCCTCCTGGTAGTTAATAAAATGGACTTGCCAGATGCCCAAGATAAATTCCATGCATTGATGAACCAGCTTCAGAATCCTAAGGGTAAATCCATTTATCCATTTAATTCTAGTTTAATGAATAGTACGTGCATAGAATGCTAATTGTTAACAATCAGTGGGAAATAAAGCTGACATTTCTACCCTTAAAAACTGTATATGTTGGAAGAAAGAACACATATCATATCAGACATTTAAATAACATTATAACATAATTTCAAGTTCCACAACTGGGCATGGTGGCTCACACCTGAAGTCTCAGTACTTTGGGGGGCCAAGGCAGGAGGATCACTTGAGGCTAGGAATTTGAGATCAATCTGGGCAACACAGGGAAATCTTATCTCTACAAAAAATTTTAAATCACCCAGCCAGATGTGGTGTGATGTGTACCTGTAGTCCCAGCTACTGAGGATGTAGAGGTGGGAAGATTACTTGAGCCCATGAGTTCAAGGCTGTAGTGAATTAGAATCATGTCACTGCACTCCTACCAAAGCAACAGAACAAGTCCCCAAAAATAATAATTACCAAGTTCTAGAATGTGTGATATGGACAGTAAGTTAGAAGAGACAAAAAAAAAAAGATTAATTTGAACTGAAAAGGTTAGCCTTCGTGAAGAAGTAAACTTAAATTGGGCCCTTGAAGAGTACATACATGAGATTTGGAACCTGTTAATTCTCCTTTAATTAACATACTCCACAAACTTCATTCCCCTAGTATTATGCACTGTAATTAAAACAGCTGATAGTTCTAAAGAGGTATGCTTCTTTGCAATACTAACTCCAAGTATTAGTTTTCTAAAAATAACTTGAGTTTTCCTATGTATGTGTAACGAAGAAAAACAGAAGCTGTTACTCTAAAAGGATTTATTTGTCTGCAGTTTCCTTTTTTTTTTGTCTGAAATTTCCTTGATGGACTACTTTGTGTAAAAGAACTTAAAAGAACTCTCCATAGTTCTGAATATTGACCTTTGCAGAGTGCCCTCTATCCTGTGGCAATGATGCTTTCATTTTTCATAGTCACAGATAAGGAAAAGTAGGTTGCATAGTAAGTGGCTAACGTGTTTTTCAGTAGGCCTAGTTTGTCATGTGTTTTTATCCTTAGGATAACAATTGGGGAAAATAGATTCTAATGTACGCTAGGACTTGCAAGTGGCACCGTAAGTTTTTCTCTCCTCTCAAAAATCTTTCCCCTGTGTAATTTACATGTTGGAGTTGGGAGTTGTGTGGGGTTAATACATTACTGTTTAGATATAAGTATTCCCTGATATTATTAAACAGTTAGACTTCATTCTTTAATGTCATTTGCTTTATAAAGTCATTAGTTTTGTTTACTTGTTTGTCTTGAAGAGAGGGGAATTTTCAGAAGAAGTACCTGAGTGAGGGTAACTCAAGATTTTGTAACTATTCTCTGGACTATCATAAAACAAAATATAGGCCTTTCAGTGATGTTTCTTGAATTAGCTCTGGTCTTTTTTGTCAGGGGCTTATGAATTTCAGAAAACAAGCTCCATGCTATCTCATTCAATCATTTTCAGTCCATTTAACCCATCCAGTCAGTGTGCTGTGCTCTCTTCCCATTGCCATGGTCATCAGGAGGAAGAAAAAGTGAGAACAGCTGTTAGCCCCTGTGAGGCAATAGGTCGGACTTGCCTGAAATGATCTTCCCTTGAACTCCCTTTCCTCCTCTTCAGTTTCAGTATAGACGCTAGCATCAATGATGATAAGCCTATACTTTGGAGAAGTTAAAGGTTTTTTGTATAGTGAGGCCAAATATAAATAATGTTCTTATTTTTATAGAAAATTTCTTTCAAAGAATCTGTTACCTCACTTTATTGACTCCCCCAAATTTATTACTATTGTAAGTAAATCATTTTTGTAGTTCATCTTCTACTTATGGTCAGTTTGGTTTAAAATGTGTTCATCCAACAAATATTTACTGTGCACCCATCATATATCTAGAACCTTAATATTAGTAAAATGGAAAGATTCTGAGAGCTTATTAGAGAGAGAAGGGGAAAAAAGGGAATTAAAAATGGTAAGTGATTAAGAAGGATGGAGACTTTACATCCTTCATGTTCACATGGATGGAGCTGGAGAATGTTCTTCTGAGCAAAGTATCACAAGAATGGAGGAAAAAGTATCCAGTGTACACACTCCTATTATGAAACTAATTTAAACCTTTTTATATGAAAGCTATAACCAAATAGCCTAAG